GTGCTTTGTTTTGTCAAGAAAGGCAAAGCAAGAATTTGTTTGAAAACTGAATTGGCTTTAAATTGGAAGGAAAAAGCACAATTTAACAGTGAATTGTTAGAACAGCTGTTGAAATTGGAGTTTTTCATTTCCTGGTGTGTATGCATCAAGACAGGAATTACTTATTTATTTAGCTAGATATGGTTTAGTCAAAACAACAGTAGAGTAGTTAAGCAAATGTGCTCAGTTCAGTGTCAGAAGGGACTGTTCTTGCTTCCAGCCTGGTCTTTAAAAACTGTGAAAATGGGCAGCAGGCTGATGTTGCTCATTTCTGATTAGAGCCTTGTTGTATTCTGTATTTGTGAGGACTGATTTTAGTATCTGCAGCTGAAGGAAGGAAACCCCTCAAATGTTAATGCATCCGAGAGCGGGGCATGTGAGCTGTAGGAGGGAAATCCGCTGCTGCCGTGCCAGGCAGAGGTCTGGATCCGGCAGCCTTTCCTCTGGCTGAACTTCCGTTGATCATAGCAGAAAGGTAAAAAGTGTCTGTTCTGCACATCCAACTGGAATTTCCCCCTAAGATGGATGCCTCATTAGGAGAGGAAAAACCAAACCCAAACAGTGTCTGCCATTTGTGGGATGCTCTGAACTAGAAGCGTGTTGCTCTCGGCGGGCCTGTATCCGCAGCCGGGGACCCAGGGGTGCTGCTGTACGCAGGCCTCAGCCGGGGGGGGCACAGGGTGTTCGCTGCCACTAGACAACAGAAGTAGCAACTTCCACTTCTCGACGTGAAGACAATTTTGACTTGAGTGTGTGTTTTATGTGAGCAAGGATTTGTTTTTTCAAGTCTGTCAGTTTTATGATGTTTTATTGTAATGGATGACTGACAGATGAGAGAAGGAATGGTCATACTTCTCAAAAGCTTACAAAAGCATTAAACAATTGTTAATAATGTTCTCCTGAATGGCAAACTGATCATGCATAAATAGTTAGAATGAGGAGTTCATTGTAGTTGTATAACATCTTTTATTAAGTTTCTTATTAAACTGGGCATAATCACTCAGTTAAAAGTTAGTAATGCAATGTGGGGGGAAAATGCATTTTTCTTTTTACGTGCTTTAAAAAGCATCTTGAAATTAAGGCATGCTGGAAGAGTTGTGGGAGATGCAACACCCACGTATCGGATGCTGTAGCTTGATGTTTTGCTGAAGGAGCTGAAGAGCGGCTGGGTGCCACGGGCAGCCGCTGCCGCCCACTCCTGTGTGAGACCGTGTTGCAGCGTGGCTGGGTTTTGTTTGTTTTTGGTGTTGGGCTGTGGGTGGTGGAGGGCCCTGGGTTCATCATCCTGTGTGTGTTCATGCAGCAGCTGCTTTTGCAGCAGAGAGGAAAGGGAACTAGTGGGCCAGCTGACAGTGTCCCGGGGCCAGATCCGGTCAGCATATCCTGCTGGCATGGGTAATCATTAAGGTTTACTAGTTCAACGTGGTCTTTGCAGGATTAGAAGTATGTGTTTTGCAGGAGAGTTAAGAGGATTGTGGGTTGAGAGTTTATGTTAAATCTCTAGTAGTGGGAGGAGTTTGGGGATAGCTGTTTTAAAAAGAAATGAAAACGAACAAATGTAGCGTGGGCTGCTGAAGTTGTAAAGCAGAATGTTATTAGCTGCAGGAGGGTTAAACAGTTGAACAATATCAACTGTTTCACTCATAAATGATAACTAATATGGCGTTTTAGTAATGACTCAATTTCTGCTGCTAGCTCTGACTTTTCTGTTGCTGTCAATGACTTTTGGCCATGCTGAATGTGGCCACAATTTGCTCAACAGTCAGTGCCATCTGTGGGGCCCAGAAGCCTGCAAGAGCGGGGTGGGGATGAGCAGCTAACGAGAATGGCTTCAAAGCACAAAAAACTTCCTCCATGGGCATAAAATCCCTTTAAAGGATTTTCTTCACTTTCCAGCCATGTGTCAGAAACCTCTGATAGAAGGGGACTGGAAAGTGGGATGATGGATTTTAAGAAGCTGTAGCCTGCCCCCCTCAATTACCGCTTGCATTTACAGGGTGAAATTAATGAAGTTAATTGCATCTACTCTAAATCTTGGTTGTGTGAACTACTTAAATCTTTTAAAATAGAGAAATAATTTCTTGCAAGGTTCATGGGCTTTTTTACAGGTTTGGTTGGTTATTTTGCTTTATTGTCCCCATGATGGATGCTGCTATCTGAAACACTCTGGGGTGTACCTTTTAGAGTAATACAAGAGATGCAATTCAGATTAAGGGCCACTACAACATTTAAAGCAAAAATAATGAAATAATTATAAAAATACTATTAAAGACCGATTTCTAACAAATATGAAAAGGAGTGTGGATTCCGACAGTTAAAATGTAAAGCAAAGTAAAAGGGGAAGGTGCTTCAAGTGGAGAAATACATCGTGTAATTAGCAAAGAAAATGTCTAATACACTGCTTCTCTGACAATCTTTTTACTTGTTCACTTTGTCGTCATTTTCAGCATGCAGCTTTAACCAAAGGAATTTTTAGGGGTGTGTTTACATGTTAATGTGGAAAAAAAAAAAAAAGGCTGAAGAATAATCTGTAAGATCAAAACATTTAAAAGTGGTACATTACAGTGTATACTATTCAAGATGAGGACTTTAGAGAATGTTTGGAGAGATCAAACATACATGATTGTGAGGCTTTGACTAATAATTTTACTTTAAAAATACTCAACATGTAAGGTTGACATTAGAGATAAGTCTAAATTTAGGGCTGAGGAAAAACTTTGGCATCCAGTTTAGTTTCCACTGAATTGCATGTTGTTTTTCTTAGGAAACTTTTTCTGCAGATTTAAATTAAAACTTTTTCTTGCTTTTTGTTTTGGAGATTTTTTTTTTAATTAAAAATCAAATAGAAGATTTTTTTTATTTGGAAGCATTCCTCATTGTGTCCTGTGGTGATTTAAACTTAAATTTCTCTGTAATACTCATCTACTGCTGTGCCCTGGGCTTGCGCTTGGCCTGTGTCTCCTGTGGCACCCCATGAGCAGAGCCTTCCAGGCTATCGTTGTGTCTCCTGAAATGCAGAACGTGCACTGTTTTGTGAAGTGTAATTCAAAAAGACCCTGGTTTACATGGAAAATAAGAAAATATGTACATTACTAGAGCTTTCCTGAAACATTGCAGCATCATTTCCAAATGGAAAACTTTAGATTTTTCAGTTAAAAGACTTGCGTTTCAATTTTTCCATCAATAAAATTCTAATTCTCATTGCGTACAAGTTCCCATTATGCAGAAAAAGCAATGCTAACAGATTCATTTCCCAGGAGAAAAGGTAACAGCACCACATCTGCAATCCTGATACAAATAATTACCCCCACAACATATGTAGTAAGGTAATACGAGGTTAAGCAAGGCGTGAAGGCTCACATGGTGCACACACATGAAAAACCAGTTTAACAGCAACATGTGCTCGTTGAGCATAGAGTCAAGCAAGTAAGTCTGGGCAGTAAGTTCAAGGAAACATTCTTGGCTGATGATGCTTCTCTAGGGCATCAGGGATGTGAGGTGTCCTTCAGAGTTGCAGGACTGCAGGTGGCATTCCTTTTGGTAATGACTGAGCCACACCAAAGGCAGTTGTACTTCCATTTCAGAAAACCGGCACAGTTAACTTCTTGTTTGGTTTGTCTTGGGCTATGTTGATTGAGAGAGGAGCTCTTTGGTTTCGTTTGTGCAGTGTCCAGAACAAGGAGTTGCATACGTGGGAGCGAGGTTTGCTAAGAGCTGTTGCAGTAAAAGCAAAGTGATGTCACATCCACTAAAATTACATTTCAGTAAATACATGCTCTAAAACCCCCATACAATTCACATTGAGACAAAATATTTAATGCGACTACTGCTTAAATTGTACTGATTACAGGAGTCATTAATATAGAGGGATCGCTCCTCTGAAAATTGGCAGTTTCGGAAAGAGTCAAAATCATCTGTTCATTAGGTGAGTTATAATAGGGATTTGTTCTTTTTTGGTCTGCGTTCTGGGTAGTTACTGGTTTCACCTAAATGTTAGAGATACTGAGTACTTGTCATCACTGAATTGTTTTTATTTTGTTCTGCTAAGAAAGTGGAAGCCCTTTATTTTCTGTTTGCTGCTGTGAAATTGTTTCAAGTTCTACCATTTCACAGATAGAGACTGTATGAGTGGTTTTTAACTGTGTATATTTATGATTTGGGTGTTTTATAAGATCCTGGAGGTTAGGCCCCTGAGCTGTCATGGTTTTCTTTTTGTTTACTGCTGATGGAAACACCTTAGCAGCAGCAGCAAGTAAACTGCTGGCAAAAGGAATTGTAGCACTAAAATAAAGTTGTTTCTAATCTAAGTGCTTCTCCATTGAGAATTGCAGTATGAGGAAAAAACATATTCAAGGAATCAGTCAATTGTAGCTTTTTTCTACAACTTCTGACAATTTGAGCTGAGTACTGCAAAAACCTGTCCTAATTGCAAGGACTGCAAAAATAGACTTGCACTTTTTTCCATTGAATAAATGGTTATTTCTTTGGGATGAAATGTGTATCTGCATTATGAAAGAAAACAATCACAGTGTTGTGTGTGTGCTCATTAAATTGTTGGAAAAGAATGTACAAGTCCAGATTCTTATTTCGATCTACCTAGACTGCAAATCACACACTGGAGCATGTTCCCTGTTGCTTCCAATTCTAAAGGGAATAATGTACATTTTGATTATACTGTTATTACCACTTTTCACTTCTAAGAATGTCTGTAAGATTTTTGGGTACAGTCCTATGCAATAGTATGCTAAGAGTAAACCTTTGTAATTCTGGAGTGTAAGTATAGAAAATAATACAGGATTTCATAATGTATCTGTAATTCATATCAGCACCAAAGTGTTTATAATTTGAAAGAGATAAGCATTATTTCTGTGAGACTGCATGTACAGATATATATTTAGACATTTTTTTTTTTTTGCAACGTTGCTGACTTAACTTGTAAAATACTGTTGTTTTTATCTTAGGTCTGCGTGTAACTGTGTTACTAACATCATCACTCATGGTACTGGGAGCTGGCCTGAGATGTGTTCCAGTTTCAGACCTAGAAATTAGGAAGAAGTGAGTGAATTAATTATTTTTAATATACATATTAGGTATTTTCTTCTAATATATTTTTTGCTGCTATTGCAAAGAAATATAAATATTAGTACAAATTTTCTTTATGAATTTGATACACCAAATGTTTGTTGTGTGGATTTGGGTTTACATGCTTATTTACTTCTTAAATGGATTTTTCTACTTCTCTTTCTACATAGTATCTGAAGATCAGAAAGCCCTATACAAAATTGAGTTAATTAAGCCTCACCCCATCCTGGATAGCTAGCATTAATCTGCTTTGCAAACAAGGAAGCAGAGATTTAGGGAGGTTCAGAAACTGGCCCAAGATCACACAGGCAACCATGCCACAAACCTCAAAAATATGTAATGTGTATGCAAATGTTAAATAATTAGTTCATGTTTCTCATATTGGATGTATGGGATTGTGCAGTGAGACAGATGAATTTACACAAAATGACCTTTTTCATGTAGTCTCTTCCAGTCTGCATTCCAAAGTAGCTTTGTACTTAATCTGTGGTTGAAATGAATGCCTTCTGTACACGTGCCATTTAAGAGTCTGTGATAGAGACTGTCGTGGTCTAGGCCTGATTGGCAGCCAACCACAATGCAGCAGCTCTCTCTCCCTTCCCCTCCAGCAATGAGAAGGGACAGAGAGCCAGGCTTGGGGTTCAAGATAGGACTGGGATGGGGGAAAATCCCCCTTTTATGATCACGAGCAAAAGGCAGACTCATTAGGGGAAGAAAAAAAGAACATACATTTATTACAGACACTAACAACACATAACAGAGTAGGACAGTGAGAAGCATTGCCACATCTTGAGAACACCTTCCCCCCACCCCTCCCTTCTTCCCGGGCTCAGCTCTGCTCCCGATATCTCTACCTCCTCCCCCAGTGGTGCAGGGGCAGGGAATGGGGGGTGCAGTCAGTGCTGCCACTTCCTTCATCTTCGGTGAGGGGAGTGTCCAAAACTTGTTCCTCCTGCTCCATCGTGGTCCCCCTCTCTCAGGAGACAGTCCTCCACAAACTTTCTCCGACTTGAATTCCTCCCATGGGCCGCAGCGTTCCCCACACTGCTCTGTCATGGGTCACTAAATTCCTCCGACTGGATTCCCTCCCACGGCTGCAGCCCTTCCCGAGCTGCTCCGGCGTGGGACTCCGCCGCATGCTGCAATCCTCCCAGCGCTGAGTTACAGCAGCGGGGCTACCTTTTCCCATGAGAGCCCGGCCTTCTTCGGGCACAGCACCTTGATCAGGCGAGCAGGAGCAACAGGCCATAAATCAATGTCTGCTCCACCGTAGATCTTCATGGGTGGCGGGGGGGGCCGCCCTGCCGTCTCACCACAGGATACAGGGGGGTCTCTGCTCCGGCACACCTCCCCCCTCCTTTCTTCCTCCGTTCCTCCACTGACCTTGGTGTTCATGCAGCTGCAGCAACTCCTCCTCACAAGTCCCACTGCCCGTCACCACGTCCCTTCTTAAATACGTTATCGCAGAGGCGCAGCCGATTGGCTCAATTTCCCAAACAGAAGTGGAGCTGACGTGGAGCTGGGGGAGCTTCGAGAAGCTTCTCACAGGGGGCCGCCCCGATAGCCCCCTCCCCTGCCACCAAAAAACTCCACCACTCACTCAACCCAGGACAGAGACAGATTACTTCCTAAAAGTCACAGAATCCAAACAATTCAATTGTTCCATCAACGTATTCTGAACCTGGGAATCCTCGGTAAGCACAGGAGTCACACTCATTTTGTACAGCCAGGGAATATGGATCAATTGTTCACTTAATTTTCTTTTGCCTCTCATGTTGAAGAAGGAAGGAGTACAGGCATTACTACATTTTTCTGCTTCTTTAAAAACAGTAGTGGCACTAGCTCTTCATTAATTATGCTTGCATAATATGTAAGCACTAAGAAAATAACTTATAAATAAAAGCGTTTTATGTTTGTTGGTTTGTGGTTTGTTGTGTTTTTTTTTTTTTTTTTTTTTCCCTTGAATTCTAGTCAGCTTTCAAGCAGTCCTTGTATTATTTCATCAAGTTCCTTTTTTTTCCTCAGTATTTCTTACCCTGAAAATCAGCTTGGAAACCTTTAAATTGAGAAAGAAAATGTTTGGTGTGAAGTAGAACATAGATGACTGGGTACCATGGATAAAACAAAGGAGGAGGTTCAGAGAGAGGACTGAGAATGTAATAAATGCATTGATTGTAAAACTAGCCCCTGTCAGGAGTATGTAGCTAGTAGGTAATGAATGACTTAGTAAACTAAATGCAGTGTGGTGAGTAACAATTTTAGTTCTTAGGTGCTTAGTGAGTGTGTAAGGAAGCCCAAGGTGTTCCTGATGCTAGTTGCCCAACATTGCCCATTTCTGTGTGGTGTTCATGGACTTTGTGAGCAGGGGAGGCTGAACTAGCCATAATGCGCTACCATTCACAGTGATCCTTTTAAGGTGAAAATGTACTGTTAAGGTGGCCAGTAAGAGTTGTCCTCATTATGGCCTTGTTTTACCTTTTCCCAAGATGTTAAGTGCTGCTCAACATCCAGTTCATCCATTCAGACCAATCTTAGATTAGTTCTATATATCTTTTAAATGGGCCAGATGGCTTAAATGCAATGAAATGTGGTGTCTTATGTAGCTTTTAATTTATGATATATGCCAAAAGAGTTCTGTTGCCCTGGACTTTACCAAAGCAAGGATGAAGACTGTAAAAACCCAAGAATAATTCCCAAATGAAATTTAGATGTGAGGTATCGTTTGGGGAGTGGGAAAGAGAGTTTCCATGTGTTCTGATCACCTTTAAACAAGGCTTTCCAGTGTAACTGCAGCAAGGAGACCTAGGAGAACAATGAAATAAATGCCTAAGGAGAAACATTCAAAGAACAGCTTCTTTAACTAGGGACAGAAAGGCTGTGGACTGTATGGAGTCTGATGAGATGTATAAAATATGATGATACATTTTACTGAAAACTATATAGACAAAAAAAAAAGAGAGCATGAGCAGAATCCTGATGGAAAAGGTTACTAATTTCATTTATTCATGCTGTGAAAATATTCATCCTTTCCAGCTGGAATTGTTAAATTTGTGTGTGTAGCCTACTCCAAAAAAGGAGAAATTTTAAAGAATTGCAGCTCTACCTGAGGAATTGGTTTCATCTTTTACACAGTTTGATTAAAAATCAACAGAGAATTAATTATAGCTAACTGTGTGAAGCAAAATTAGGGTTTTCAGTGGAGGTTTCTTGAGACTCTGTACAATGATTTACAATCTGTGCAATGTTTTAACAGGTAACCTGCATCGTTTTGAAGACTAAGACTGAAGGCCAATTTTCATCAATTACTTGAAGCATGATACCAAATAAAATAATATTGTTGAGATGAGCATTACTGCTTAATTCACTGGCAACAACTGGTGGAGCACTAAACTGCGCACTTACTCTGAATGTGTATATGCATTAATATGACAGTTTGAATGTTACAGAGCCAGCCAGATGGGCAAGATCACGCACAAGCTAATATTGGAATATTTCAGAAGCCAGCGTAGCTGGAAATTCTTTGAATGCGTTTGCATGTTTTGTAATGTGTTCCTTCAGTCCCTGAGTAATCTGCAGTAATAAACTGAAGGATTTCCATGGGACAATTATGTCAGAGTTAAGATACGTAAAATTACAAGAATGTTCATGAGGTTTGTCAGGTTTAGGGTTTTTTTTTTCTGCTTTGTAGCTGTCTCTGCTCCCTAAGCTCTTGTAATTTAACATTAAGGAGAGCTACTAAAGCCCATTGCCTATCAGAGCAATCACAGACGTGAGGAAATCACTGTTAAGACTGACATTTAATCCTGACTGCTTTATGCTCCTTATCTCGCACAGAGCTGTAATATCCAAGTGTGTTCTTAAGCTTTTTTCTAGTCTGTAATTATTCTTTTGGCTCTAGCATGTGACAGCAGACTAAGACTATCTCCAGTTCCCTGAGTCATGTTTTAAACACAAACCTTAACCTCTGTTTGCAGTTTTTGATGCCCATGTATATGCACAACTGGTATGAGGGAGAATTCAGGTTGCACATTTGAGTGTGTCTCTTGAAGCAGCTGTTCTTTATGGTGAATTTTCATTCTCTGACAGTGTGTGACCTAAAACCATACTGGGAATCCATGCCAGAACTGCATAAATTCAGTCAAGGCTGAAGTGGGAGTGCATGGCGAAAATGTGGGAGTATGGACTTGCATGTGAGATTGAGGAACCAACCTATATGTGGGCTAGTAGAATCCCTCTCACATATACATATGCTCTTACTTACCTGTTTTCCTCTTCCCCACTCCCCTCAACCTGTGAGCTTAATATGTGTAACATAGACAAGGAGGTTAAAAAGAATTTTTTTTATGTACCATGCACTTCTGGGTTTGCCAAATGTGCCAGATGTGACAGTGAATTTTACTTTTAAAAATAAAACCCCAAACCATTATTCCTTTCTAAATGTTATGAAAACCTCATTTGCCACACCTATTTCCTTAGTTCATAGTTGATGTAAATTATCTAGAACATGAAAAAAAGATGTTATCAAATTGTACCATTCCTGAACCTTATTCCTTTGTGTGAAGGTTTCAATACCATCGCTAACGCTTTTTTGCCTGCATTTTGTCCAGTCCTTTCCTTTTGACTACTGCTTGGCACTGAGTGAATATTTCAGTTGGACTCTTCGAATTTGATTATTTTATCTCGAACATTAACATTACTGGAGGGCCTTTATTTAATAGACAAAATCAGGTTTGTGTTTTTTCCCCCACATAGCACTTCATATTTATCTCATGCTCTGTGTTTAAGTGTAGATTTACATATAGCTCAGGTCTTCCATATGATTGTAAAATAATAAATCTAGGCAAACAGCTGTATGAGCTGAAACATATAAGAAAGAAGGAAATAAATGATGAAATCAGCCTATAGCTATAAATATGTGGATTTTAAGACTGACCGTGTGATGTAAGACTTCTTAAAATGTTTTGAAAGACAGG